TATATATATTCTTTAAAAGAAATATGTTTATTGCTCAATTTAATAAACTTTGCTTAATGGAATCAGTTTGGTTCAGTAAATTCAACACTTTATTTCTTAGAGAGCGTTCAAATGTCCTTTTACTTTCCCGACTTTTACTTAAAGTACTTTTCTCTTCAGTGAAATTTATTTTTACCGAAGTCATTATCTGTTAATTTAGTTTTACTTTAGTTCATTTTTTTACTTTATAGACCCCTGGATCCATCAATCTGAAGAGATAAATTAATTCTACACACCTAATAAATGTAAAAAAACAAAAGAAATCAAAATGTAAGGAAGCAAACACTGCTTGGTTTATATTTAAACTGTTTTCCACTTCTTTTTTTTTTTTGTTCCCACTGGACAACAGCCATAGTCTTCCTCGTCTTTCTGCACCACAGYGATATGTTTCTTACCTCAGGCACAGATTGTGTCCTCGCTGGCGGTTGGATGTGATATTTGCATTGTTTTCAAGCACTGCTCTTTTATTTTCTCTCTGGCAACATAAAGCGTCAAACAGCAAGCTGAAACGCCAAAATTATTTTGTGTTGATTAGTGCAGCTTTAACTGGCTCTAATTATTTTGCTTCATACGCTTTATGTCTTGACACGAGTCCTTTAGAAATCAGCCATTTTTAATTGGTTAACCACAATGTTTCACTCTTAAACACATGTTGGATAGTTCATTAGATTGTTTGTTTTCCCACTTCTTACCTGTTTTTCACAGACTTGAATTTAAACCACTGATGCACATTAAACCACAGGGAGTTCAGACTTTAAAGGTAAACACAAACCCAATCAACACTAAAGGCAGATTCTAAACACATTTACTTTTTTTCTGGCATGAGTAGAGAACTACTCTAAGCTGCCTTTAGGGCCTTTTATTGCAGAGTTCTCACATTTTACCAACTTTATTGATCTGTAATTTCTCAGAAAAACTCTGCTCTGAGCATTCAGGAAACACTTATTAAAAAATCCCAAGTCTTTCTGTGCCTTTGATATTTTTGATTTTCACTGTTCCTCTGTGCATGTTTTTTGTTGTTTATGCTTAGTTACTGCTTGAAAAGATCCCATTCTATCTACATCCTTTCAGGCATAAAAMTCTCCTTCTACATCCTAGTTTCCACTTTTGTTAACACTACATATTGGCCCTAATGAAAAATGTCCAGATATTATATTTTTTTTTGTTTTGCTTATATTGTTTTCACTTTCAATCTATTGAAACATTTTGTAATTCTGTTTATGTTCTACAACTAACAAATACTGATTTTAGCAGTCAAAAAAATGGCCATAACTCAGTCCATTTTACAAATCGTGACAGTTCTACCACGTTTTTTCTGCCTCATCTCTAATTTATCAGTGACTTTCAGATAGGTTATTTGGATCATGTTTCACTTAATACTTTCTATGACTTTTCTTATCTTTCTGTATTCAGGCRTCCTTGTGCGAGGACTCAGTCAGGAAAATGCCATTTTTTCTGACGGACAGATGTTCACGGAGTTAATTTTCCCCGAGATGACACCCAGTGCAGCACGATGTACTGTTCGAACTGCCATTTCCTTCTGTTGATGAGTCTCCATGAAAAGCGACAGCAGCAACAGACAGAGAGACGACGTGTCCACTGCACGTCGCTTTAATCCAGCTGGTTAATCCTTCTGTTCCAACTTTATTACACTGGATGCACCATGAATTTTTACTTCTACGTTTACAGATTTTGATCTAAAAGTTGACACATTCTGACTGTCATTTCTCAACATTCTTAGTATAAAACTCTGGTCTTTAAATGTGTTTCTATGGCACTGTATGAGGGCCAAAATTAAGACTATTGCACATCCAATGTTTGCTATTTGTAGCAGGAGACTACAATTATAAGAAATATACGGAAGCACAGAGTGGCCATTTTCAGCATATAAGTTTTTTCCATRGGTTTCTTGTGATAATGAGATGTTATGTCGTTATCATGAAATAATGAGGACCGTTTTCTYRAGATAACTAGTTAAGATTTTCTGTGCATCATTCAGTGAGACGGCCTGATCCCCTCAGCTGGTGACTGATAGAGTTTAATAAAGTCGTCTCCTTAGATGATGAGGACTAATATGAAAGTCATCTGGTGACAAACAAATCACAATTTCAGCCTGTGTAACGATACAAAAATAACAAAATTATGTACACTAGGTTGCCTTCAGGCCCAGGCCGCTTGCAAAAGAGATCTGTGATCTCAATGTGAACTGACTGGTTAAATAAAGTAAAAACAAACAAAAAAAATGGACGGACGGACGTCTCCATGATTACTGAACGATACACAAAAGAAAAAAAAAACATCTGGAAATTAACTTATCTTGAGAAATACTCCCTGTTATTTTGTGATAACGACATATGTCATCACGAGAAAACCATTAAAAATAATTATATGCAGAAAATGTCCGCTCTTGGCTTCCGTACATTTGTGATACTTTAAATTACATTGTTTCATTTTATACATATAAAATATATCAAACAAAACTAATAACTTGGACCCTTTAAAATAAGCTTTATATAAATCCATACTATTTTTCCCCCTCAGTGTTTAGTATCTTCTCTGAAAGAACCAGAGGAGTTGATGACAGAAGGATTTTCTGTTGGATCCTCAGTGGAAATCTTAAAACCTTTTTATTCAAACTGACCTCAGGAGTGCAAACATCAGAGAGCAGCACAGTGATGTTTCTTTTTTTATCCTCATTACTGGAATTGTTCTGAGTATAAAAGCTGTGCTGCATGTTGAAAGTGGTTGCATAGCTGTCCAAAGAGTCTATAATGAAGAGCAATTAAGAGATGTTTAGAATGGAAGCTTGGCATCCATTCTGGTGTTTCCTCATCCAAACAAGGACGACCTAAAAAAAAACTACATCAAGTTTTTTTTTTCTTTCTGTGSTGCTGGAGAAGTGGGTTTTATTAGTGGTTTATACATTGATTTGATACTTGAAGATTGGTTAATTTATTTTACGTAATTACACATTTCAACACATCTAGATTATACACAAACATGAACATTTTTGTTTTTCATCTCAGTCATGTAACTACGGAAGAGGATTAGGGCCACTGAAAAATAAAAAAAGGAATTCTGACTTTAATCTCAGAATTCTGACTTTTCTCAGAATTCTGACTTTTTTCTCAGAATTCTGACTTTAAAGTCAGAACCTTTTTTTATTTTTCAGTGGCCCTAATCCTCTTCCGTATAACTCAAACAAATTCAATTTTTTATTGTGTTTTTTTTGGAGTACTCCTTTGTTTCTATTAAAATAAATWAGCAGACTGTCTGTAAACCCATCTGGCTCTGCTGAAGCTCTAGCTTAGTAAGTCTTCGCTGGCTGCTGAACTTCTGCACATATTGCTTATTGAAGACACTGTCATTTTAAGAATTAGGTTTTTGTAATAATACAAAAAAAAAAGAATAATAAAATAAAATAACCAAAATCAATCTAAGACAGAAAAATAAAACATTCAAAAATAAAATCTTGAATAGTTAGAAATGAAAATACAGAAAGCCAATGTAAATAATAAATGATGCACTTTACTAAATGAGTCTGAAAAACTTCTGGCAGTAACCCTGTAATCTATTAGGGCTTGGATTAAAAAAACAAAAGCCTAAAGAGGATTTTAATGCTGGACAGAAAAGTGTGTTTAACTGCAACGACAAATACATTTAAAAGCTGAAGCAGCTTCTAAGACACCTGGATGGAATGTTAAAGACATGCCAGGCTAACGCAAAATGTAGAAAAGATTTATTAGTTTTTACAGGATATAAACAAGAACAATTAGTTGATTTAATCACATGTGAAACAATAAAACCAGAAACAAGTATGTCACATTATCACACAAACAACGGCAGCATCACCTGGGCTGACGTTGCCCTTAATGACTGCTCCCTTGGATACAGCAGCATGAGGAATTTCAACCTGAGCTTAGAACCACCACCACCCCACCTTGAATATTGTGCATTAGCTAATGAGTTTAAGCTGCTGACCACAGCTGCACTGCACTCTGATATTTTACCAGATACCAACTTAAATGTGCTGCAGAAATAAATCAACTGAATAATACAGAGGAGGATTAGGGCCACAGTGTGGGGGAAAACAAAACAAAAACAAGGCACCTCTTATGG